TGTGCTCCCAGGGAACATCTACAGACTGGCCTCCAAACTAGGGCAGAGTGAAGTGGGTTTTATTACTAAGTGTTTGTATTACAGTAGAGCCTCTCCCTGGATCCGCACCCCATTGTGCCAGGTGCTGTACAAACCCAGCTACTGTCCCTGTCCGGAAATGCTAACCAGAGTGAAAGGATGGGATGGGAAAGAAGGACACAGAAGGGTGAAGGGACTTGCCCAAGGTCACTGAGCAGGTCAGTAGCAGAGATGAGACTACAAATGGTTCCTAGACCTTGCGCTAGCTTAGAATTGGAGTGATAGGACAAGTTCATCCCTTATCTCTGGTATCAATCAGTATCACCAATGGGGCTAAGGACCCAGCCCTTAGAGTGTTTGCTTAAACCAGTGACCTGACCCAGTCCTTACTAAAAGCCACCAAAAACTCTGCCAGCACTTACATGATTCCCCATTGTGCCAACCCTTTCTGCTCTAGCTGCAGTGACATTTTCATTTCATTTCATTCCTTTTTTTTTTTGGTAATAGTTCAGGCTTATGATAATGTTAAGAAATAGCTATTGCAATCAGCCATTGTTAATCAGCAAATTACAACCTTCCATGTATTACAAAGCACTTAACTACCAGCTGCTTATTACCACATATTTATGCAGGAACAACTCTGCGGAGCAAGTTCCATGTCTATTCCAGAGCTATCAACCCTCCGTAAAGATGGTCTTAATGACCAACCAGTATTTATGAAAGGTGCCAGAGCCTGCCCGTTACAGTGAATCAAGGCTAAGCGTGCAGGTAAGTGTGTGGAAGGCACTGCATTGGAAGTTCAAAGCAAATAGGGGACTGCACGTTGCCCCAGCTGCATTAGTAGCTTCGGGGAAGCTATTATGCAATATCCAGGGTACAACAGTCCGGCCCGGTGCACTGCTTTCTGCAGTCTGTGGCTAGCTACCCATCAAGCTGTAATCATGTTGGTGGCTCTTACAGTTAAAGCTAAGCAAATTGCATGCTTCAGGGTTACATTGCCACAGTCGGGGTCAGGAAGGAGTTATTTCCTGTCAGGGCAATTCACCAAGGCCTATGTACCAGTTCAGTCCCAAGCTTTCTTCTGGATCCCACTGATTAACTCCAGGTTTGCACCAGTGTGAAAGGGGAATTTGCCCCTTAAGTTCCGTCCCTTCTTCTCTGCAAATCGTAGAGATGGTGTCCCTGTGGGTTCTGGTGCATAGACAGAAGGCAGGGTGGCATTTGGAGAGATTTCCTGCACCCAGAGAGCTTAGCATCTGTGTGCGGCCTCAAGACCCACATGAAGTGGGTTTCGAGGGCCTGACAAGAGAGGGGAGACTGAGAAAAGTTCTCAGGCCTACACTGATAGCTATACAGTACCCCCGCTCTGCCCCCCAGCTGTGCGGGAAGATATCTTCCTGCCCATGGCCCAGTGACACGTCCCTGCACCAGGTCTGGCCTGAAATCAATGAGAACTGGATTGGACCCTTAGGCAAAGCTCACCTCATGCTGGGGGCGTATAACATGGTGCGACTCACGGCACCTCCTGCTGGTCACTCAGGGAATCCACTCTTCAGCCCTGGAGCACCCCCTGCTGGCTGGGGTCACACCAACTGTTACTTTTTATTCACCACCTAGGCTACGTCTACACTGGCCCCTTTTCCGGAAGGGGCATGTAAATTTCATGAGTCGTAGTAGGGAAATGCGCGGGGGATTTAAATATCCCCCGCGGCATTTAAATAAAAATGTCCGCCGCTTCAACCTACTGAAGTAGGAATAAGACCCTCCGGAAAAGGGCACTTTTTCCGGAGGATCGGGGCCAGTGTAGACGCTCTTTTCCGGCTTTTTTAAAAGCCGGAAAAAAGCGGCGGACATTTTTATTTAAATGCCGCGGGGGATATTTAAATCCCCCGCGCATTTCCCTACTACGACTCATGAAATTTACATGCCCCTTCCGGAAAAGGGGCCAGTGTAGACGTAGCCAAGGTGTTAATATAGTTGGTGATCTGTGATCTACAGAAGGAGTTCTGTTGTCAATTGCTGTCATCCACCATATCGACAACAATGTAAAATATACAGTACTAACATCTTGTTAGGGCCCATGTCCCTCTCAGACCAGGACGCCCTTCCTTCAGGGTACTGTCCTGCCACAGGCCCCCCGCACTCTGGGGTCCTCCCCTTCAGGGAACCCCCAATCCCTAAACCCACCTTGCCTCAGTGACCCGCCTGACAGTTGTCACCTAGCCCCTTATCTCAGGGGCAAACTACAGTCAGACATGGCCACTCCTCACTGCTGCCTTTTGCCTGCCCTGGCTGCCTCCCTGCAGCCCCAATGCTCCTCAGGCCTCTGTTGCTGGACCTTAGCCTGAGACTGCACCAACTGGAGCTCCCCTGTCTCACCCTGCCGTTCCCCAGCACGGCTTTGTCTGTGACACCTCAGCTAGCAGGCAGAGAGGTCCTTCACGCTCCAGGGCTGGAGTGAGAATGAGCTCAGCCTAGCCAGCCATTGCTCTTATACAGCCCTTCTGGGCTCTGATTGGCTGCCCCAAGGCCTCTCGTGATTGGGCCCCTCGCTACAGCCCTCTCCCACGGCTCTTTTAATCCTTTTTATGCCTGGAGCAAGGTGACCACCCTGCTCCAGGGCAACACAAAGTCTGTGGACTTCTGAAATCCCAGTGCATGATGGAGGATCCAGCCGGAGCCTGTGTTGAACGTTCATGACCCCTACTGCAGGACATAGGCAGTGCACAGGGCTGGGGATAGCTGTCCGAACAAGGTTGAAATCCAGCTTTAGGGTCCAGTCTAAGTCCCATTGAAATCAACAGGATGCTGGTGGTGGGAGCTGGATTATAAGGTTTCCAACTTTTAGTTTTGCTGTCCTGCTCCATACCCCAGTCCCAAGCCAGGAACCCACGTGCTAGGTGCCGTATTAACATAGAACAAAAAGCCATAGCTGAATGGACTAACCCCATCGGCCCAGAATTCTGCTTTACAAACTTGAGCCACTGCTACCTATGCTGGATGGTTTCCAGGCTGCTACTCTAGCTAGCTTTGTGCTACCAACTTGGGTGACCCCAAGACATTCCCAACTTGAGCTAGCAGCAGTCTCTAGCTAGCTCAGGTTAGGTATGTCTAGGGCTCACCAAATGAAATTAATAGGTAGCAGCTTTAAAACAAACACAAGGAAGTATTTCTTCATGCAGCGCCCAGTCAGTCTGTGGAACTCCTCGCCAGAGGATGTTGAGAAGACCAGGACTTTAATAGGGTTCAAAAAAGAACTAGATAAATTCATGGCTATAAGCCAGGATGAGTCGGAATCGTGTCCCTAGCCTCCCCTTGTCAGAAGCTGGGAATGGGCGACAGGAGAGGGATCACTTGATTCCCTCGGGGGCACCTGGCATTGGCCACTGTTGGATGACAGGACACTGGGCTTGATGGACCTTTGGACTGACCCAGTCTGGCCGTTCTTATGGTCTTACACATACTAGAGTCAGACCTCCCAGTTGCAGTGTAGGCATACACTCAATCACGAGAACAGGCAGATATAGATGGAGGTGGATTAGGAGTTTGTGGGGCCCTGAGCCAGAGCAAGTGGGGGACGCTCCTTACCACCTTCTGTCTGCAGTCTCCTCTGTCGCCCCTTGGCCCTCCTGCTGGGGAAATGGGGTCAGGTTGCAGGCACTTACCCCCCTCCATCCCTCCACTTGTCACTCCTGCCGGGGTAGTTGCATGGGGGCTTCTCTGATCCCCCTTTGCCCATTTTTCCAGCCCTCCAAGTGGCGGAGGCCCCTGGACATGTGGCCCAGTGGTTCATCCATCACTGTACATAGACAAATGGGGAAGCACAAGGCAGAATGAAACGACGCTGGCCAGCATCCCAGGCAATGACCCAACTCCCGTCAAGATTTTTGTAGACATCACCCCCAAGAAGAACTTAGGAAGCAGGCGGAAGGAGGGCGACAGGGCAGCTGTTAATGAAACGCCCCTCCCAAGTGTAAGGGACTTCAAGCTAGAAGGCCAATCCATTTGTGCATCGCCACGCTGGGCAGCAACAAGACTGTTTAGGTCAGCTTGTTCCTTTCTCAAAGAAGGAAATAGCATTTGGTCGTATTATTTTAACCTGTAACTGGAGTGAGAAAGAAGAATTAAACCGCCGTTTTCTTTTGCCAAAAATTGCAAACAAAGTGCTTTTTAAATATCCCCTTCTGGAAAACCACCTCTTCCCTTTCCCCATTGTTCTTCTCTTTGTAATTTTAATGTCTCCTTTCTTTGCTTGTTCTTTCACCTCGCCCAGCTGTCCTGTTAAAATACAAATGAATGCTTGTGATCAGCCAGGGAAATGTTTTACAAGCTTTAACAGTTTTATTTTCTACAGGGCTAAAGCCGAAATAAGCTATGCAAAGTCAACGGCATAGCTTAAGTTGAAATAGCTTATTTTGGCATTTGGCGCTGCCTACAAAGCAGGAAGTCTGAGAAAGACCACTCTTTCTCCTACTTCCTTTACTCCTCGGCTATGTCTACATTGGCACCCTTTTCCGGAAAAGGGATGCTAAGGAGACAAGTCGGAATTGCAAATCCGCGAGGGATTTAAATATGCCCCGCGGCATTTGCATGAACATGGCTGCCACTTTTTTCCGGCTCGGGGTTATGCCGGAGAAAAGCGCCAGTCTAGACGCGATCTTTCGGAAAATAAACCCTTTTCTGGAAGATCTCTTATTCCTACTTGAAAGTACATCTACACTTGAAAGTAGGAATAAGAGATCTTCCGGAAAAGGGTTTATTTTCAGTGACGTGGTGTTATCCAGTGGAGAGACGGTAGAGATTTGCTGCTGAAATGGTTCTAGGATTTTGGGGTCCCCCCCTCCATTGCATCACTGCAAGATGTTGTCACTTGTGAGGGCGTGACATCATATCGCAGGCACTGTGTCAAGTCACTACATCATACAATTACCCGGTTGCCCCATAACGTCAGTTCATTGCATCATACTATGGCTTTGTTGACTCAGCAAAGTTAAATGTTGTCGTGGATTTGTTCTGTTAATGGCCCCGGGAGCCATTTATCGAGCTGAAGTCAAGTGTGATGCAGTCATCTCACTGACTCTTCAGGGCTGAGTAGATTAAGGCAGGTAATTGTAATAATAATATAGATTATTTCCAACATCTAGACACAGGTCAAAATAATCAAAGAGCACCAGCGGGGGGCTTTTCAGAACCTACATCTTAATCTGCCTTTCAGAGAACGTAGAGCAAGTTTGCCAGACATAAATAATTGAGAATACTTATTTTAATTATAACTAGATGGAATAAATTAGAAATTCAATTACAGAGCCACTCACTGAAGAGGCATTCAAAATGTTTGGACTATTAGCTGCACAAATTATCTGCAAGAAATAACAACATTGGTGGGAAGTGACCTCACACCCTTGTTTTTAATAAAAAAGTCAAGGTGCAAAGCACGACAGATCAGTTTATATGAAGGTCTAACCCTACTACCACTGTTTATTCTGTATATGACATAAACATCCTTTTATAGAAACAACTAACTGATACACACAGAACAATTCACACCTGGGTGGATAGGAGACATCAAGATTGGCTCCTCCCTTTATATGTCATTTGCATACTAATATTCTATTGGTTTCAATGAGTCATATTCAGTCATGATCTCGCTGCTTTCTCAACTCATTTGCATACTGTCATTTTATTGGTTAAAATTACACACCTGTTCAATTCTGCCATTTTATGATGTCTGCAATTGACTAAATCCGTATAAGATGCTGTGGTTTTTGCCTAGCAGAGTTTAGCTGACCCAGGGTTGGGTTTTGATTTTGCAAAACCCCAAGCCTGGGTATTTCACATGTGGGTTTCTTTATCTAATTTACCAAAGTACAGTGGGTGAATGGAGGGGAAGGAAGAGAGAGAGGAAAATTGTTCATATTTTATCTAATGCTACTGCAAACACTTTCTTGACTGATACAGGATTCATTCTCCCAACTGAAGTTTCAAAGTTAAACGGACCTCCGAGCCAAATCTCTACCCAAACCACTGGTTTTCTGTCAAAGCCACACAAGAAGTTGAAATGCACATGACATAAAGCCCATAAAATCTGTGCACACCAATGTGCTTCTCTGTTACCCTCGCCACCTGCTAGCACAGCCATGATAGCACACTCCTGACCTGCACCAATGGCCACCACCGAGCTCTACAATGTCCAGTGAAGGCTCTGGTGTCTTGTGATTATGTATCCCAGCAAAGCGGAGTGCAGCTGCTCTCCTGGGGGAAAACCCACAATGACCCATGCACATCGTTTGCACTTAGATTGTAAGAAATGCGTGTTATATGAAACTGATAACTAGACAAGTATGTACGGCAAATAGACCAATGAAGAGATGTTGCAAAATCAAGCCATTTTCACTGCTGTACTCCCCTGAGTCACCTGCAAAGAGGTGAGACAGAGGGCAGCGAAAGACAGAGATGAATTAAAGATCGGAGAGAGGAAACTGGACAGTAACACCCAACCTGTGAGTTTCCTTAATCAGTATTTAAGGACACATGACCGATTTCTAAAGAACGGCACTAATAAATCAAGCTTTCTGACAGGGATTCAGTTTTCCAGAGAGAGCCCTTTAATAAGTTTCACTCAGGAAGTCTCTGCTCCCAATAAAGACTTCACAAAGTTAATTACACTAAACAGTAATTATCGTGTCCCTTCATTGTTCAATTATCTTGCTGAACTGGTGTTTCCTGATTAATTTTCTGATTAAAATGTATTAAATGGAGGAAAACTTGCAAACAGAAGATGACAGATTTTAGGCAGCCGGGAAAGCGAAAACAGGATAATGCCCAGCTAAGAACCAAGCCATTCTCTGGCAGCACACATGTGTTTTGGCCAAGGAAGAAGAGGGAGCAGTTGATAGGAGCAGAAGAAATTCCAGGAACATGTTGTTAGGAGTTGTTAGCATGCACAAAGTTCGGGAGTGAGGTGCTCAGCTTGCTTTAGGCTCTTGAGCTGTGCAGGTTAGCTCATTGCATGGAGAAGAGCCGGGATAACATTTGGAGGACGTGGTGCATGTTCTACCACAAGAACTCTGCCAATGCACCTTCCACCTAAGCTGCAGTCATCCTGGAGGAGCCCATCTTGGGCTCGGCTGATGCTGATCGACTGTCTCTCATGTTATTCCAGTGGTGGGCTCCCGTTACCACTTTGGGCAACTCACTCCTCCTGAAACATGCCTTTGTTTATCTACCCCCAGCCTCCATGCACCTCAGCTGATGCACCTAACTCCAACCCTGCACCCCTGCTTTTCCAGCTTTGGATCTCCACACTGGTCTCTTGGTGCAGCTCAGGTCTTGGTCGGCACCCCCCACAGATGCTCAAACGCTGCTATGCTGCTCTAATCGGGGGAGCGGGTATTCTCTGGCCTGTGTCATGCAGGAGGTCAGACTAGATTATCAGGAGCATCCCTTCTGGTCTTCAAATCTTGGTAACACGCCATTCACCAGCTCTTCCAACCCTGGTTCTCCTTTCCTGATACAGACAAACATGCACCAATTCTGGGCCTCCCAACTCATTTCCATGTGTGACCTAAATGAAGGTTGGGTTGTTGATCATGTCCCCTTGCAAGGGAGCCGCTGGTTCTCCGATCCATGTGGGCAACACGTCTACTCGAGGGTTGCTTCTGAGCCAGAACAATGCTGCTTCCCAGGAGGATGCTGTTAGGATGCACTCTTAGTAAACCGGTAATCATCGGCGCTTTGATCCGCCGCTGATGCCATTTGCATAGCCTCTGTGAGGCAAAATCAGAAAAGAGGATTAATTTGTCTTTCTTCGCCTAAATATCACCTGTGGCTGGGACCACAACAAACAAATGCCTCTCCTCCTGCCCCAAATCCACATGATTAGGTTACTACAGCCCAAGATTTAAGTTAATTATTGAATGGATGCTGCGGAGGCCAACCCCACGTAATGGTTTATTTTGAGTTGCATAATGTGTGTAAGTCTCAATTAATTCACCGCTAAGATGACGCAGGTTGGATAAGAGAAATCTTGGAGGCACTGGAGTGATTAGCACCAAAATAGATAGATTGGCTTGGACTGAAATATTCAGTCCGTGCCTAGTTGTACGTGGAATAAACACTCTTCGGCTACGTCTACACTGGCAGCTTCTTGTGCAAGAACAGCTGTTCTTGCGCACAAACTTGCCGGGTGTCTACACTTACTTTGTGCAAGTAAATTTACAGGCTAGCATCGGAAAACAGGGCTTCTTCTGGAAGAGGTATTCCTCTCCCCACAAGGAATAAGCCCTCTTGTGCAAGAGCTCTTGTGCAAGAGGGCAGGGTAGACAGGCAACATGAATTTCTTGCACAAGAAACCCCTATGGCTAAAATGGCCATCAGAGCTTTCTTGCGCAAGAGAGCATCCACACTGCCATAGACGCTCTTGCACAAAAGCACATCTCTTGCGCAAAAGCCCCTGCCAGTGTAGACGTGCTCTTGTGGAAGACTTTTTGCGCAAGAACTCTTCTGCAAAACAGTTCTTGCGCAAGAAGCTGCCAATGTAGACATAGCCTTCCAGAAAAGGGGTTAAGAGAATTTTTTTCTATTTGTTCCTTAAGAAATTGTGCACTCAGAGAGAGTCAGGTAAGGAGTTAACTTTGCTTGTGAGCTGCGCAGCGCCTGAAAAAGAACTGCATCACAACTAACAAGAGGCATCGATCCAAGTGCTAACTGCTTGTACGTTCCGAGGAATTAAAAGGAGCAATTCCATTTGCAATAGTGTCTCCTGCTGACTTCCAATAATGCTACATAGAACATCTTTTTACAAACATCTTATATTTGCAGCAAGTTTTTTTTCATTCAAAAGGCGGTACACCTTTGCTAACATTTTAATTTCCAATTCACAAAGCAAAGAAAAGTTTGGAACAACCAGAGTAGCTTTTAGATTTGTTTTCATTAATACTACAGTTAAGTAATGAATCAAACTGCATTTGGGTTCCCTGAGTCCCAAAATATTACTTAGTAAACAATTACGCTTAAGCTAGCCAAACCTAATCTTGATGTTTTAACATAGTCCCATGTTTGCCAGCTTACAGTAACATTTATCCTGCATCAGGCTGAATGTTGGTGTCCATAAGGGGGAGAGGGGATTAATGCTTGATTTCAAAAGCCTTCTTCAAGTTGATTCATTTCTATTTAATTTTTCCAGGCAGTTGCACTCTGTGTGTGTGTGCGTGTGTGTGTTCATGGGGCGTGTATCACAAAGCCAGTAGCACAGTCTTACCAAGCTGCAGAATACTGCATAACTTTAATTAAAGCACATGCATATATGGGGTACTAGTGAAGAGGTAGGGGGAAATCTTATTATCCCAGTTAAGGTGATACTTTTGTGTTAAAAAACACACTCACAAAAACTTTTTGTAGCAAAAGTCCAAACCCAGTAATTATGTTGTAACTCACGGCATTATCAATTTAACTCCGGATGAGACTGCACTGCAGCCCAGAGCACAATGCACAATGTAACTGAGGTTAATTAGACCGAACTAGTCCCGGCCTCAGTGCTGGAGTTTATGGGTGGTGTAAAGCAGAGTTCACTCTCTTGACAGGTTAACTGTGCTATAAAGACAATATCACTATATTGTACCCAGCTAATGGCTACAAGGTCATCTTCTGTAGCTTCTCCGGATGGCAGCAATACAATTGCCTATCCTCAGGGGTTGAGGTGGCTCCCGATCCTGCGATCTGATCCACTCGGACTGATTCCTGCATCTGCTCAGCGCTGCTGTCCAATGCAATGTGTGCATGGTGGGGAGGACTGCCCATTTGTAGGATCAGTTGCATCAATCGCCAGACTGCAATTGGTCTATAACTACAGGCAGGATGGCTCAGTGGTTAGAGTGCCAAACCTAGCAGGCTGGAGATGAGCGCTCTTTTCCTTCATCTGCCACCAACCCTGTGTATGCACTTAAGAACATAGGAATGGCCACACCGGGTCAGATCAAAGGTCCATCCAGCCCGGTATCCTGTCTTTCAACTGCAGCCAATGCCAGGTGCCCAGAGGAAATGAACAGAACAGGGAATCATCAAGTGATCCCTCTCCTGACAAACAGAGGCTGGGGACACCATTCCTGCAGGACAACCTCCCAGCTCATTCTGGCTAATAGCCATTGATGGACTTATCCTCCACTTGGGTACTGTACTTAATTTTCCCATCTGTAAAATGGGGACAACAGTATTGCACTACCACATCAGAGGGTGTTATGGGGGTAGATTAAGACAGTATGTTAAGGGAGGCATACAACACAAGTATCTTGGACAGCAAGACACCTGCCATATGGCAGGACCAGCTGTGGGAAATAAAGTATTTCCTACTTAAAGAGCTACATACAATTTCAGAATGCGTAACAGCTGAAACACAGAGAATTCAAGATCAGTCCTAATTGTGCAAGGTTTTCATACTGAAATGAGGCCAGGCACAATGACACTATGTAGAATAGCATGCTAGTCGTGTCTAAAGGCCTTCTGAGATCAGGGCTGTCACATATGAGGCACTTTATAAAATACACTTGAACCCCTTTAATCCGGCAAAATTGGGTAATAGACTATGCAGGATTATGGAATTTTCTGGACCATGGGGATTCAGCATAATGAAGGGTAAACAAAGCCTTTTACTAAAGCTTTTGTATGTGCAAGCCACTGTAGAGTACTGTACAGGTGTAACATGTCACAGTCCTTAAAGCACTGTATTTAAACTGTTATTGGATGTGGGGAAGTAGGATCTGTGAGAGCCATGCAGGGATCCGAACCAGAAGGGTTCCCAGAGCACAGACACCCGGATTAAGGAGGTTCAAGTGTATATCCTTAGGGAACATCCCTGCCCTAGAGTGCTTATGATCTCAATAGACAAGACCAATGCTGGGAAGCAAAACAGAGGCAGAGAGAGGTGAAGTGACTTGCCACAGGTTAAACAGTTGGTCAGTGGCAGAAACAGGACAAGGATTCAAATCTCCTGGGGGGTATGTCTACGTATGTCCACGAGGCGTACAGATAGTTCGGAATGGCTTGCTAGTTCGAACTATCTAGCCCGTGCCACGTGTAGCCGCGCGGCATGGGGTTCGAACAAGCCGGCATTTAAAAATGGCGCCGACCGGCTTATGCAAATGAAGCCCGGGAAATTCAAATCCCGGGCTTCATTTGCAAGTGCGGTATGCCTACATTACCCCGCTAGTTCGAACTAGCGGGGTAGTGGAGACATACCCTGAGACACACCCAAAAGGTCCAACCTTGAGGAGCTGTTACAGAGCATCCTGCCGTGTGTCCATACAGCTTGTTATAGGAAAAGCATATTACACAATCAATACTGCAGGAAAGATCTTTGCATTTCGTTACTGAGTGCTCGTGAGTCCCTCGCCCAGCAGCTCATCGCACATTAATGGTGCATGACAAGCATCGGGCACATTAAATGCTGTTACATCTAACAATACACCCCAGGAACCACTGCAACTTGACACATGAACAGAAAGAGACCTCCATGCACTAGGGGGGCCATTACACCCCATTAAAGTCAGAGGAGCTGAAAGCCTGTGAGGTGCCATTGTGCTGAGGCTGTGATGAATCTGGCAAGGTTTATTGCCAACGGCGGGATATTTATAAGGCAACGGTGTGTTGCTGATGATCGCGGCTATATTTTTTTTCTTTTACAAAGGCATTCAGGGAGGGAAGCAGATTAGAAAACCTCCCCTTACGGGCTCAGTTGTTTAAGGAAGAGCACCGAGGCACTTTCATTCTGGAAAGAAAACAGGTTGCTCTGTGTTTTTTGGTTTTGATTTTGTTTTTGGTGTTTTGTTTTTGTCAGCACAGAGAAGGCTCCTTGCATGTTACCCGTAGTGGCCACTTGATTGCAGCCCACAGTCTTGGGTCCAGCCCTCCCCCATCCCCAAACTCCCTGCTGATCTGCATTGCAAGCTCCGACTCACCGTGTCCCCATCCACAGCCACTTCATTGCAACTCTGGGAGAGATCGGAAAGGCTTGGCTGGTGCAGAGGTACAGACCGAATCCTGCCCTGCAAGGTGCTTCCCTGTCTTTACTGAAAGAACAAATTGGGCTGTAAAACGGAAGAGGCCCTCATAAAAAAATACTCCAGCAGGAACACAGAAGATTTTTACTCCTAAAAGCAACCCATCCCCCACTTCTGGCGGCCAGGGTGGAGTCCAGCAAGAAAACATTCACTGCCACCAGGAAAAGGCTATTTCAGCGTCCTTTCACAGCAGCAAGCAGGATGGAGGGTGGCATTTTCAAAGGAGCACAATGGAAGGATTTGGGTACCTAACCCTCCAGCTGACCCCTGGCTAGGCCAATGAAAAGGGGCTGAAGTCTACTAGGGTGCCTTCCATTTCAAAACAGAGAGGCAGGTGGGTTGGCGGAAAGGTGGGTAGCTGATTTCAAACCCAAGGGGCCCAGTTCTCCCAGGCCCATCTCATGCTGGTCTGGCTTTCAGTCACGTCACTTCAGCTTTGCCCCCCTGAATGCTGGAGAAGCAGAGGAACACACGGTTCTGATATAACAGCCTCTAACCAGCAGCCCTCAAAGAGCTGGCTGGACAAGGGAGGTCGGTATCATTTTTACCTTTCTCTAGAGGGGGACACTGAGGCACGGAGTGGCCGTGACTTGCTCAGGGTGACCCAGCGAGCCAGTGGGAGCACTGGGAAAGACCTTACAACCCCAAATCCCAAGCTAGTCGGCCTCCCTGCCTCTCAAATAGAAGCTCTTTCAATGCATTGACAAGCAATGACTCCCACACCAGTCTGTCCTGGCTGAGGTGACCTTGGGTTCCCCTCTGCAAAAAGGGGACAATAGAGCATCTTCTTGGTGTCTCTGGGTTGGAAGCTTGAGGACGAACCAGCTGGCTATGGACCTCTGCCCGCATCCAGACGGGTGACTTTAGATTGCACTCATGGGCAGCGGGTATGAGAGGCTGGGGAAGGAGATGCCTTCCCAAACCGCTAACCTAGCCAGGACCACACTCCGCCTCCAACCCCTGCCCTCCTTTAGCAGTGTCCTGGGACTGTCTGGGCTTCATCCCCCATGAGGCTGGAGCTGTGCTGCCAGCCCTCCCGGGGCTGAGGAGGTTGGGGCCTGGTGCTGCCTATGCTCCAGGCGCAGAGGGGGCTGCACGCTTAGGGTTGCCAAACAGTTTAATTAC